TGCTGTTAATGATAAGTAAGTTCAAGAATGTAAGGGAAGAAACATGGCATTAAAATCTCAGGATCTTCATTCACTCAGCCAATGAATTAATAAGAATACCACGTAACATCTATATAGTAGCAAATCCTGCTAGATGCTGAAAACCTGCAAATCCCTTAAGAGCACTGGAGTATGAAATGCCATGTAACCATTCTTGCTATTAAATGCCATACAGCCAGTCTTCCTAATTTGTGCAGTGTGTTGTCACCATTCACAAAATATGTAGTGAAAAAAATAAATCAGAGAGATCTGTTAAGAGCTTTCTAGGAAGCAAAATCAATGAACGGATTTCCTAATAGATACTGAGAAAATCTAGTGTTTCCTGAATCTAATATTCCAGATGCATCCAGCTTCTGGTGTGCTCTGTCTTGGCAGTAAAGCAGGCTGCACTGAAGAATTGATTGCAACAATCTGGTACAACCTTTTAAAGATGGAAACATCCCCTGTATTCTCTCTTGAAAACCACTTACTGGGGAAAAGGGGGTAAGAAAGGGGGAAACAGAGGGAGGTGAAGGCAAAGCAAACCCCCAAAAAGTTAATTTGAAACTAATCAAACCCCATTCTCTTCCCTTGCATCAGAAATCTCTTTTATTTCAATGATGAATTCTTTTTCAAAGACACGCCGATCCTTTTGAGGGGAATTCCACATCTTACAGCTGTGCAATCTGCCCTGCAGTGTACGCCTGGCTCACTCACCTGCTTTCTGCAAAACACCACGAACTTCCCAGAGCTGGGGCTGTGCCAGTATAATAGTACTTCATACTTGTCAGTGATCTCTGGCAAAGACAATGCCTAGCCCGTTATATTTTAAAGTAAAAGCAGTAAAGTTCAAAACCATGTTCAAATGAGTTAGCAGAATCTTTGTTACTTTGCAGAGTGTTATATTGTATTATGTACGGTTGTCTGTTAATAATGCATGGTTTTATACAGCAGTTAAAAAGCAGTTTCATTAAACAGTTTCATTTTAAGAATAATTTGTTAAGAATGCAGCTTCTGAAAAAGGCTAAATTCTTGTTTCATATTCAAAATATAACCCCCATGCTGAGACTAAAGGAACAGTCATATTTTAAACGCATATTACAATTCATGCTTTGAAGCATCATATAAGTCTAGCCTTAAGTATTTCCCATTTGATAGTTATTTTATTTTTGCCTGCTTTTGTTTTCTCCTTCATTCATGTTGATTCAACAGTATATATTAAAATTTTAATTTCATCTCTTGCTGTGCTTTTAGGTGCCAACAATGAGTTGAACTATATCGGTTTAAAAGCTTATTTAGTGGGGCAAAATTATGTCCCTTTGTTCTCATCAGGGCAAATGTAGTTTTATTATCATGGAAGATTAAAAGACCTGACCTTTGGCACTGAGAAATATTGTGGTAACTCCAACAACTCCTGACATGAATACTCTCAACCCTTGGTAGCCGGCAGAGCACTAAAACATATACTGTATCTGACAGAGCTGTTTATTTTCAGCTTTCATCTTATGCGTGCATTAGCTACTGAATTGACTATATTGTTGAATAGAACAATGGATCAAGTCCAGACCCGGTGGATCTTATCTGATGGGCAGGTATATCAATAGGAAAACATGCATTCATTAAAAGAAAAATACCAAACTGAAGTCAGAAGGACATTATTCCTTCTCCACTGCTAACGGAATGAAACCATTCCCTTCTTCTCATCTACAGCAAAAGCAGTCAGCTCCAGGAGCCCATACGTTGTCACTGGGGAACAAAACACACTCAGCAACAAGCCAAAATGGGGGGAGGAGAAATTCTTAGAGGGCAAGCAACCATCCATGTACACAGACAAAAGGTGGCAAGTGGAAAAAATACCATTTTTACTTCAGCCTGAGGAAGGCTCAGCAACCTCTTTTTTTTTTTCTCTTCATCCAGAAATCATAGCCCTTGCCAGCTTCAGCCGATCACTGCTAGATGACAGTGAGCAGCGTTGTCAACCTGCATAATTTTGTTATGAACGTTGCAATATTTGAGGTCTTGCTTCAAGCCTCCACTTCCTGGAGCCCCTTACCTAGGAGACACTCTCTTCTTTGCTCTAGGACAAAAGCTTTCTAACCCTCACAGTTGCAGAAGAAACTTTGAGACCCGCTCACAGGCCTGTGGTAAGCACCCCATCGTGGATGCTCATCCCACAAACCTCCAGATGAAGGAGACCCAGAGGAGGCTTGGGGGCCTCCCAAGTGTATCTTCTTCACACTACTGGAAAATAATATAGCCCAAAAAACAGAAGATGAAAGCAGCCTGTGAATAACAACAATTCACCAGGCAAAAAATACTGATACCTGCCAGCTGCACCAGCAGGGGATGCCAGCATCTAACATCACTCACTGGTGATAACAGTGCGTTTTGGGCAATGCATGCCAAGGACCACAGAATCTAAATTCAGTCTGACTTCTCTACTGCAAAAATACAGAAAAACATGGGTGAATTTTACATGACAATTAGTTTTACTGAGAAGAACTTTTAATTACTTGAGAAGAAATACACAAAACCAAACATTTTTACCTCTTTCTCTCCCCCTTGAACAAAAGAGCAATAGGAGAATAAGCAAGGCCAAAAGAAAAAAAAAATGTTTGATTTTCTGATCCAGATGATTGAATTTTTAAGGCCAGCTGACAAGGAAAGACATTTGTTTGTTTATAAACTGTGGAAGTACAACAGATGAAAGCAAACATGGTTCTTCCTAATGTTCACAGCCCCTTTCCAACACATTTTTATAGTTACCTAAAAGACAAAGTACAATTTCTGTTTATATATGCAGACAGCTGAAGTAGTAGGTCATGCCTGAGCATTAGAAAAAGTTGTGATTTAAAATGCACATTTCAATTCCTTTTACAGGTGATAACTTTTACAGAAATAGATATTCGCAACAATTCTTCAAAAAATGAGAGTTCAACCTTGTACCTGATGATTCTAAATTCTTTATTTCTCTATTTTTGCATCTCTGTCACGTAAACTATTTTAACTGCACTTCAAGAGCCCCATTTGTCCTGACTGTTGCTTCCCAGATTACCACTTCTTGGCCTCTCAAAACAAAATTATGAATGTTCCCTTAATAAAAATCTCCTATAAATACAGCTATTTTAGAATACAAATAAACACATCCAGAATAATCTAGGGTAGGATTTTCAGTTGCACTTACATAGAGCCAACTTCTTCTATTTTCAATCAATCATAAGACCACTGACTTCTACGGGAGTCAAGTCAGGTTCATTGAGCTTGCTTTGAAAAATACAAACCTTTGTTTTCTCTTGTTAGTTGCAACACATTTAAATCAGACTTTTCAGACAAATCGTCTTCTAGTGATCTCTAAATCGTAACAGTGATCACACTATTATTTGCTTTGACTTTTTACTTTCAAAGAACTAGCATTCCTACATTTGAAATATTTTACAATTACTTTTAAAACAAAATCTTTCTGTTCTGTTCTGGACACGCGCTCTTGGGAGCTGTGGAAATTGTTTGATATTCTAGAATTTTTTAAAGAGACATTTTAGGCTCCAAAATAAGACATGCTGAGCATGTTGCAACATAATAAAATTGGGAAACATCCAGACAATTGTTAAAAGATTAATTATGTCACTTACAGCAATTTCAGCATTTCAACTCTGCTTACTTATTTTGAACTTAAAATTCTAAATTAAACTTGTTTCTACTACAAATAATGAAAAAGTTGAACTGTGATGGCAGAATAATCGTCACTTTGCAGTGCCACTTTGAGAGTTTTGGCAAGTGGCGTTGATTCACTTTTTTTTCTTTTCTAAATGCTAGAATCTCATAGTGGCTGACAACTCAAAGATGCCAGCAATAATCATTCCTCCTGGAGGATGCAGGTAGCTCACCCGACTGAATATCCAGTGGGCCAAATTGGCCAGAAAGAGACACATACAGGACACACCTGAACTAAACTTCATGATAAGGTTCTCATTGACTCCCTGTCATAGTTCAATCCTCCTTCCTGGAGGTAAACCACAAAATAGCCAAAGATGCAAACCAACATGAGTCCATGCTACTCATGGATTCCATCCCAGCTACTGGGATTTCTTAAGGCATTTTTAAAGGCATTTTTCAAGGATTTTTTCTCTAGCAATTGCTACTGAAAAACCCTCTTATTTTATATTTTCTGATTAAACTAAAGTAGCTCAGCTGAATAAGCATCTCTGTAATATAAAAAGAGAGACCTGGAATATAAAAAAGGAGACCTGAATAGGTCTCCTTTCTCATGCAACAATACTCCCCTTGGTTTTGCTTCCAAGAGAATGGTGCTAAAATTAAAAAAAAAAAAAAAGCATAGCCTGTAGATGTTGTTCAATTGAGAAAACTTATTTCAATTATTAATTACCCTCCCTGTTAGAAATACACACCTTTTCCTAGTTAAAATGTGATTTGCTTCAATTTTCAGCAATTAGATCCTCTCTCAAACAAAGAGTCTATTAGCAAGCTTTGTACTCCCTTAGGTTCTGACAGACTCTGGCCAAGATAATTCTTCTTCCCCTTTTAGATGAACTACAGAGACTGAGTTTTGGACTTCCTAGACACTCCATAAGTCTTGTTTTCTCCTTGTGTTATCACGTGTCTCTTCCCTGAGTTGTCTCCAACTTACCATTAGTTTGTTTGAATTGCAGATGGCAGAATGTGGCATACCGCTCCAGGAGCGCACAGTCTCAACTATATTTACTAAAACATTCTCTGCTCATACTTTTAGGTTTCATTATTCATATAGCCAGGGATGAGTAACATTTCAAAAGGATGTCATTAAATCCAATAGACAGTGTTACACTGGGAATTTGTTCTGCTGTCTCTTTATCAAAAATTCCACCAAATTCCTTACTCAGTCACTGCTTCCCAGACAGTCTCCCATTCGACCTTAGCCTTAGCATTCGTCCCCTCATGTTCCCTCCCACCCTTATCATATAAACATTCCAGTCATTAACTTTCCCTTACCTTATCAACTCCTGCAGAAAGGTCTGTATCCCTGGCCTCTTCATAAGCCTTAACTCTTCCAGTCTTGTGTCACCTGTGAAGGTAATCAGAGAAAATCCGCTGTGTCCTTTCAGCTCATCACTAATTGTGCTAACTAGCGTAGAGCAAAGAGGAACTGGGCAGTGTCGCTACTCCAGTTACTGTAGGCCTTAAAATGGGAGGTTGCAAAACCACGTTAGGCAGCTAGACGGCTACAAGAAAATACTGAGGGGCAGCTTCAATTTATCCTTTGTAAATAGCACATAGGTGCAACACTGTGAGGGATGCTGTGTTATAAAGGCAGCAGCTGAATTTGAACCATACACAAGAAATTTAAAACATCATGGAACGTATCACATAATTACAAGTACACACTCACTTGCTGAAAAACTGATTACAGCATGTTTGTAGAATACCACCACTGATGTAAGAAATGTGAAGATAAAGGTCTGCAAGACACACAAAGAACTGAGATTCTAATTTAGCTGCTTTTATTAGTAATTCATATTTTTCTTTTCTAATCCCCTTTGCATAGGAAGACACTTTACATGCACACTACATTAATTAGACATGTAAAAGACATTTCAAATCTGCCAACTCAACTGCTTCGGGCAGATTTCCACCAGATTTCTAGACAGTCTGCAGGTGGAACATCTGGAAAACACACACAAATGGCTACTAACCATACAAAAAAACAACTCTACATCACACAAGCATCCAATGCATCCCAGGAGTTCAGAGGCATAGACATCATATAATGCATTTGAGTCTCCTTGAGTCTCCTTGAGTGTCAGTGATTCCGGTATGTTTGGGACACACTGGGGTAGGTGCATGGGCATTGATTATCTACCTGCGCATAGGCCACTCACAGGTGCACAGAGGGATGTCAGACTGTATCTGCACCAACTCCAGCAACATCCCCCAGAGTGGGAGGAGGAGAACTGGACTTTTGCTGTGGGTTATTATTTATATTGCGCTGCCAAAGATCAAGTCAAATGGACTCAAAATCAAATACCAAATCTGTTTGTTTCCTTTATCCTGCTGGCCTAAAGAACTTTTACCCTCTAAGACATCAGACAGCAAGTAAATACAATTTGTATCCAATTGTCTTAATCATTGAAAAGGTAAATCTGGCTGATGATACAAAATCCAGACATTTTCTCAGGCGGTTTCAGCATACTGGCTGAGGTTCTCAAATCCTGACACCCAGATTTAGCCCCCGTGATCTTCACTGAAGTTCTTGTACACATCATCTTGTTGTCAAAGTGCTGAATACCCCAAAGCTGCTCCAAGATGATGTCTTTCCTAACCAGAAAGGCCCACAATGTGAGAAGCTTTCAGAGTCTCTGCACTACAGAGCTGGTTAATGGCCCCCACGCTACAGCATTGCCTGAATCCTATGCCTTTTGTTTCCAGCTTGTTCCTGATACTGTATTATGGCACAAGAACAATGCAGAAGCCCTCAGTAACTTGGTGTCTCAAAAGAAACAGCGTTCCTACAACCAATTAATCTGCCAAAAAAGCTGAAAGGGTTCACATCTCTGACTAAAAAGGCTTTTTACTTCAAAGCTTATTCCACAATTCAGCTCAGCTAACAAACGCACAGAGGAGGATTTCTCAACTGCGCAGTTTTCAATAAGAGATGACCCACCTCTATCGTTAGGAGAAATGGAAAAAGAGAAGCAATCCCCTGACCAGGGTACAACTTCACACTCCGAGGACATCGTCAGGATGGAGCAATATGGAAGAGCTACCACTAGGCTGCAAGAAGAGAGTCGCATCACACGTCAATATGCACCAGTTGTGCATATTCCGTGAGTCAGTATGTAGCAGTTGAGGATGACACAAAATGCTGGTGACAGAAAGAAAAGTTAACGTCGTTTTGTTCTCCTAGGTCTGGGTGACTGTTGCTTGTATCATACCTGAAACAGCAGCTAATGAGACAGAGAGAAAGGAGACTCTATGGTCTGAAGAATTGTGTGGTACATTTATATTACAGGATGTAATGCAACTTCAAGGTGTCAGGGAAAATATGAAAGCTGTAAGAGATGCTATAAATAGGCTATAAAAAGCAGAATTTATAGACGTGCGCTCAGTCCTGTTCGTATCCAAAATCAAACAACTTTTACCACCCTGTTTATCCAATTACCATCCCATTTAGCTAAGAAGTATTTAACTGAAATTCTTCAAGGTTAGGTGCCCCGGGAAGAGTCACTTTCCCACTCAAATCTTTGATTGCCTTTACCTCCATCTATCTAAATACCCTGAATGCCCCCAAACCATCTGGGATAAGCAAACTTGTGCTGAATTTTCTTTCCACCTAGCTCATTCACTACTTAAGCAGGGGAAAAAAACCCAACTTTGCTTGTTCAGCTAGCTCAATACTGAGCTAGGCAATGATGTCCTTCTCCATGAATATGCTAAAATTAATCCAATTTGCATGGGACTATATGAGCAGTAAATATTTATTCATGATTGGGAGGGAACTAATCCAAGTATATAAACTAAAGGTAGATATTAAAAAAACAGCATAAACATTGATCACCATAACTTTCCTACAATTAGCTGCCAGGTATAATTAATTTGTGCTTCCAGGTACATTAAATCACTAACAAGCATAACATGTTTGAAATAAAGAAATAATTTAAATAAAATGCAATTAAGGAGATGCAGTTATTTCAGTCTGGGCAAAGTGACCCTCACTCTAATAGAACAGTCGTTAATGAAGCTGACTTTAAAAGAAATCCTTTTTCTCCCCACGAACATTATCTTTATTTTTTTCCTGAACTTCATACTGAAGTTGCAAAATTTAATTAAATATTCTACACAGTCTGGAGGAGTAAGAAGCGAGAGATCTGTCAGCAATAGAAATGGCAGACTTTATGTAAGCAATCTGCCAACTAAAGGAGTCATATGTTAGGTTATTGTTAAACTGTAGCAGAAGGAGATAAAAAACACATAGGCATGTATTTTTACACACTTTTACTTGAGTATTGTGAAAGGATGTGTTCCCTCAGCTGAAACCATTCCTACCCTGACTAAGGATAAGATTTCAAGGGAGAGATGGAATTGCAGTTCTGCATTGCCAGAATGTGTTTTTTACTATAAGATAGTTCTCTAGTTTAGTACAGAGGATCTTTACTTCTCAGGGATCTCTGTTGTTTGAAAACCACTCCTGGCTTTGGGCTTAAGATTATTTTTAATCAAAAAGACCTCAAAAGGATCAGTCAATATCAGCATCTCACCATCTTGGTGCTTTTCTGCTCAAGGCTCCTCCAAACAGGAGTGCCATGAACAGGGAGCGCAGTAACTCTGGGAAAGCCAGGGTTCTTTCCACAGCAAACCCTGAGCATCTGTGTGTAAATGGACCAACAGCATTTTAGTAGTGACCAATGAAAAAACAAGCAAATCATTTATTGCCCCTTGTTTAGTTTGTTAGTATTCCTCTGCTTGAGATTCATCGCCTTTTCTTCAGAGCCAAAAGGATGGATGGTATGAATGTTCCTCATCCATTTCTCAAGCAAAGCCAGCTCCTTAGTATACTATAAAGTTGATTTGAGCTAAGCTCGCAAAGCTTTTACCAGAGTAAATGAGAAGCATTCATCCAATCTCTTCCATCAGTCTATTCTGCCGTGAGGCAGTGCAAACAGCTCTGCAGCAGTTACATCTTGAATAGTAGTCTACCTGCATCCCAAATCTGATGAATATGGTGTTTAGAATAACTTCATTTTGATGATAAGGTCAATTTGTGCCTTTGTAATTCCTTATGTTGTAGTTCTAGAGTATGGTTTGGGGAATCAGTGGGCAATTTTGGACCGCTGATTTGGTTAGCTCTTTCCCGAGTTCAATCTAAGTTTAAGGAATTTCGTAACTCCTCAGGAATAGAGCTGAACTTCCACTAATCACCACCTCAGGTTTAGGTAGCCAATGGAGGCCAACATGTTGGCATAGAACAAAGATAAAAATTAGAGCTTAAGAAAAGATAGTGATGAAGAAAACAATCTCACTAGCTCTTATGCTCACCTGATGCCCTGTTACCCAAATATTTAAGCATCTAGTAATTTATGCATCTATCTTCCTGTGAAGGAAATGCACGCTGTTATTCACTCTATCTGTGAGGAGGTTAAAAGGGGACAGGATTTCAGCATGGTTGCACTCCTGAATCAGACACTGGCTAAAGATATTGGTAATTTGGTTCTGAGAAAGAAAAAAAAAGCCTACAAAAAGAACTTCTGAAACAGGGGCAATTAAAGACCACAGCAACTCTTTTTCTTTTTATTTCCACCCCATTTTGGCAGAGGAGGACTTTGCACAGTGTCCATAAGCAAGATGAAACCAACAAAGAAGGAGTGCCTTTTGCAATTTCAGAAAGAGCAACTTCAGAACTGACCACGGCAGAGATGACTGTACAAATACATGAATAAGGCAGGCAAAACTGGTCTCTACCAATTAGCTGTCAAAAATCAACTGATTTATTAAGGAACAGACATGCCATTTGCTCCATTAAATGCAAAGGGATATGCGCTATCCTAGTGCCCATGGTGGGTCTTTCTTTCTTCTACTAGGGCTGCAAATACTGTGGACTGCCTAGTTTCCTAAACTTCAGTTCAATGCTCAGTAGCAGTCAAAAAAAGGAAAAACCCAACCAATCGGTTTGCTAGGAATTGCCGCAATTCCTAGCAAATAACATCATTATGCCACTGCATACATCTATGGTTTGATCACACTTTCAACACAGTCTGTATAGAGCTGTCCCTGTAAAGTACAAATGCTCAGAGAAAGGCAACAAGGATGAGCCCAAGCAAGGAATCGGAGTCGCTTTTACTTTGGGGACAGCATGGAAGACCACCAGACCTTCAGGCACCCCTTAGAAATTCTTTCTAAGCTTTATTTCTCTCCTCCACAAGGCATGGAAATGCATATGCTAGCACCAAGCCCGGCATCACAAGATGTATGCTGTGTCTTGCAAAGTAGCCTTCACTGGGGATTTCCCCAACTATCCCCAAAGTCAGAGCGACGACCAGGATGCACACAGGCTGGGTGCAAAAGCAGTGC